CCCACAAGACTCTCTGGTCGGAAATAATTTTTCATAAGCGTCGTATATTAGGGGTAATGAAGAGCCCTCCAAAATACTGGACTAATGATTCCCAAAGCGCTCCCAATAAATATAGCTGAAAAATAACCACTAACGCCCATATGTCAGCTTAGCTGAAAGTCGCCGTGGGCAACAACAACAGCTGCTGGTGAAGCGGTGAAACAAGAAAACTAAATTAAAACTCAACCGCAACTGTTTACACACCAAATGTTACCACAAAGGGGCGGCTTGGCGGCTTTGCGGCTTGGGGCATCAGGGCATCAGAGCCTCCAACTGACTCCAAGCTGAAATCCCAGAGCGGCCTGAGCGGGAGATGATTAATTAAGGCGGCTACTTGGCAGAGGAGGATCGGGCGAACAGCTCGGACAGTTGGCCGGCGAGGTGAGAAGAGTAATATGTACAAATATATCACTCCTTCGGAGCGGTTAAAAACGAATTAATAATGTGTGATCGGAGGCCGCCCCCAAAAACGCGGAATGCCAGTTGGCGGATTCCAGAGGAAAATGCCCTAATTGCTGGCCGGAGGACGTGGCAGCCAATCAGAAGTGTTGTGCGGGCGGCCACGCGCACCTCCTGGATGACACGGCAAAGGCAAAGGACGCCCGAGGACCGCTTGACTTTGGATGGCTGCACAAAGAATGCCATTATGTGCATGATCTGTGGTTTCCCTTTCACCCCGCACAGCTCCTTTGCGGCGCTTTGTCGGCAAGAGTGTGAACAGAGTAGGGGAGTGGAGTGAGCTGAGTTAGGGGAGGACACCCAAGCCGCTGGCCTGAACCGCCACCATCGATGTGTGAATTCTAACAGCCCGCGTCGGCGTTTCGTCGTAAATAATGCGTTTGAGATTCGGTCACAGTCGCTGAAATATACGGATTCTTTGGAACCCGAGGGCGAAAGCAGACGAATCGTCGAGAATGATGATCGAGCTGAAGATTGAGACGAACCTTAATTACCCCCGGCGTAGCGCCTTCGATTATCGCATTCCTGTTAATTTCGGGCTGATCCTTGATTAGCACTCCGCTCGCCTTCTAATAGGGATATTAGGACGAACTGGATTCGATCTCCTGGACAGCTCGGCACTTCGTGTTGTATGGCGTCAAGCCATAAAATTCGTTTAACACCTGCGCGGCCCTGAGAGGTGTGATGTCAATGATTATAATTATAACGCCCAGCCATACTGCCACGTAAAAGGGTTTTGCCGACTCTGACCGACACGGAAAAATCGGTCGTCATGATCTGTACATTCTTGTGGAGGGAGAGAAATCCACCGAAACACAGACGACTTTGACCTGAGACCTGGTAAGCTTTTCAAAACAAATGCATTTTCGATCCACTTCAATTCCGGCTCTTCTCATCCGTGTCCATGTCCGCGCGGAGAATAATTCATTTTTTATCACAACATGATTATAGCTAATTTGACATTGAAATATTAGCATGTGCAGCCCCTAACTAGAGAAATCCCAGAAGAATCGTAGACGAAATAATCACGAAACGCAATCAATCCTTTTCCGATGATGCAGATGACGAGCCGGCCACCAAACATAAATAATCCGTAAAGGCAGGAATTTTCCTTTCCCTGCACACTGCTTTCCCGATTTGATTTATTTACCATAGTAAATATAAATGCATTCGAAATGCATTTTAGTTATGCACTGAGGCCGCCACCAATCTTCGAAATTATCATCTTCAGTGCCATGTGAAAACGGAATATAAATAATTATCCACTGGTTTACAGAGCCACCGAAATCAGGGATTCGTGATTGCAGTTCTACTTTTAATTAAAAACGCATTTCTTGTCGCTCACTTCGAGTCTTCGGTTCCAGTTGCATCTCGAAATCGATTTGATACAATTTCAATTTTTGTTGATTTTTCCCAAAGTGACAATTGGGCTGCGTGATTTTCAATTATTCCCAGCTGAACCGATTCGTCAGTCGGCACATGTCAAAGGGGGGTACTGTGGCTCCCAAATCTCCGCGACCATAATTGTGGCATCAAGTCCAGTTCCCGTTAAGCCGAGTGTAATGTCTCGTGCCGAGCTTTCCAGCTGCAATTTGAGCTGGCTTTGTGCGGAAGGTTTCTTTTCGGCGAGTGTGGAAAATTGAGCTGCATGTTATCTTCCGTTGATTTAATTAGATTTCGATTTGTTGCGCCATTTTCGCATTTAATTGATGTTAAGTTCTTGGAATCAAGCAGGTTTTGAAGATGCCGCCGACCAGATAAGACAACTGTTACATTGTTCAGTATAACTTTCTGAAATCGTGATAAATATAATATTTATTTGCTTTAGGAGAGCATTTGTGAGAACTCCAATAATCTGATAATAAATTCTGCGAAAAATTTGGTTTTATTCCCACAAAACTTATTTTATGGTACCTCCCCGCAAACATGCATATTCGATTCGAAAATCTGGAAATAATTTACTGTCTTTAGTGGGCGTCCAAATCAATTTGCAATAAGCGCCTAAGCGTCATTAGGTCGATTAACACATTAGGTATCATCATCTCCATTATCATTATCATCGCTTTATGCTAATTTCCCTGCTCAGATAAAACCCACGAAAACGGCGTGTCTCTGTTCCACCTTTAAGAGACTAATTTAATTAGCATAATTTGGCAACACCTTTTTCGGCTGTTGTGGCGACGCCTACTCGCCTACTGGCCCACGAGCAGATGCGTATCTTCCGGATTGCCGGTAGATACTCGCTCGTATTTCTGTTTGTGCGTTTAGGCCAAAAAGCGCTGCTAAAGCGATTGGCAACGCCAGCGCAGGATATAGACAGTCAGGAGTTGACTGAGTTGGCGTGTCAAATCGATCATTGGCACAGTTTGACAAGTCTATTTGGCTGGACAGGTCCGTGAAGCAGGAAACAAAACCGGGAGGACACACAAAGCCAGTCGCAGCGACCACCGGCAGTTTCGGTCTGGCCAAGTCCAGACGCTGAGTCGCCCAGTGGACAGGGACGGAGCGTAACACTTACGATTTGTAATGGCCTCTAATCATGCGACAAAAAGAGGAAGATCGCAGTTAGCAGTTCGGGACCTACCGCCGCCAACAGGTAGTCGCGATAGCTGGTGCAGCATTTTGCAGTTGGCAGTTGGCAGTTTGCGGTTCGGGTGTTAATGGTTTGTTAGTACACGGCCGTGTCCTTGCTCGCTCTCTCGTCCTTGACGCTCATAGGTCCGCCCACCCAGCCCCCGTCAGACTCACCGCAATTATGACGCCTGTGGTCGTTGTGTTTGCGGTAATTTAGTTATCTTCCAGGACTGCATGCGATTTTCGCCGGAAATTGACAGTCGGCGGTCGAAAGCCACAGATCTTTGATTTAGCATGCACTGTTTAAAAACACATTCGGCAGCCTATAAGCTCGCTTTACTGCCAATGCCCAGCGATAAACACCCAGACAATACTATACTCTCGGCCCATAAATCTGCTAAAATCTGCCCAGCCCCGCTCCATCGATAGGCGGTTGCATGTTTAGCAAATTACTCAACAGCTGGACGGGGGATCCTGGCGGGGCGGGCGCGGGGCAGCTAGCCATTAAATAAATTATAACGAACTGCGCGCTGAAGAACGCCCCCCGCCTTTGGACGCTAAGCGGAATGGACACTGCCGCAAACAAATTGCTCCCTGCCAAGAGCTCGCCCCGCCATGTGGGAGACGACACGCAGTCTGCAGTTTTCGCGGACCAGGGTTCGGGATTGGGGCAGTGGGGCCACGGGCCACGGACCAGAAGGTGCAAGTCAGGATCGTGGAGAGGAGGATGCATGTGTCAGCAGCTTGCTCAAAGCAAATGCCGCTGGGAGTTTTCTTTTCGGGTGAGTTTTTAATTTATGTTATTGATGCGAAAGATATACGAAGAGCACTGAGAGAAACCGGGCGGAGAAAATCAAAAAAACAATTCGCCTAGCAGCTGTTTTGAATATTTTCTCATCCAAAACCGAATGCTCATCTGTGAGAGTGTGGGAAAATATTCAAAGATGCAAATGCGATATTTCGGTTAAGGTTGCACTTTGAATTTTGCGTGAGCAGTTAACGAACATCCACAAAACAGCGAAAAAGAGGCGAAATGAGTTACGGATTTGCAATCGCTTAAGTTGAGTGCCAATCTGAGCCGGCTCCAAACCCCAGTCATATAAACAAATGAACATATGTAAAATCCATGCTCGACAGCGGCCACGACAACTTGGGCCGACGCTGATGCTGATGTTTTTTACGACTTGACACAGAGTTTCCGAGGACAGACGAGGATGGGGATGGATGGGGATGGAAGGGATGGGTCTTCCAAGTCTGCGGAGTCCGCAGTGACTGGACAAAGTGGCCGACAAAAGTCGGTCGGAGATCCGTGCGCTTCAAGCTTCGAGTTCGAGTGCGAGTGCGAGTTCGGCGGGCTGCTGACTGAAATGGCTTTGAAGCGCACATTTGCCAAAGTGATCGTAAAAATGCCAAGCCAAATACCTTGAGCACGTCAAGCGCGGCAATTAAAATTGAACTTTTATGTTACAATGACATATAGCCCAGTCGCAGTCCCGGGTTGGCCCACGTCGGAGCGCCTTAGTGCTCAAATGAGATGCTGATGGGCGGCGGCGCAGAGTGGGGCGGGGCATGGGAGTGGAGTGGAAAGGCCATGCGTGTGAACGGGGCAAGATCAAAGCTCGCGCCGCAGCCACGCACTTGCAACTGGGAAAAGGACGCAGCTAGCGTGCGAGCGAGCGGGCGATAGATCTCTTTCGGCTTCGGCTGGACAATCCCGTGCAGTTTGGTTTCACAATTTAATTGCAAATAAATTGAGTTTTTGGTACTTCATTTAAGCGAAACACGCTAAACCTTCCTGGCCGGCGGATCCATCAAAGTCGGCCGAGGATGTCTCTTTCGCCCTGCTCAAAGTTGGCTTTTACGAGGCTCCCTTCCCTTCCACAAGCCACAAAACTCTCGAAACGAATTGTTTGCATGAAATTAAAAGGGTTTCCTATTCAACTTGACGAAAGTGTCTTTTCAGGACTCTCTGATGGGACTGTGATGGTACAGCTTTGCTGTACCCCCGTCTCGCCTTCCTTCCTGGAACAGCAATCGACAAATTCTGCCACTTGGGCCCGGGCGTATAATGAGGTTCCGCTAACTGATCCATCAAAACTCCGTTAGGGAACTGTCAACAGATGCCCAGGAACTCAGTTAAAAAACCGTCAGTAGCTGATGGTCAAACGGAAGGCAAAACAAACAAACTGGCGAGCCGACAGATATTGAACAATCGCATATGACAGATCGCCCGTCCATCTGGACCAGGCCCAGGAGGAGGACAAGTGAAAATTAGGCACACACGCGCTCGCACTCACACTCGCTCACATCGAAGACAGTTGTCAAACAGTTTTCACTCCTTCATGCTAAATTTGCAAGGCAAACAAACGGCTTCGTTGGTCCCGCCGGACTCGGAATCGCCAGACCCAGTGGCAGTTCAAGGACGACGGAGGTGTCACAACGGCGGGGTGCCGCAAAGGACGGTGGCACAGCAAGTGGCGGACCGGAGGGTGGGATATTTAGCTACTCGTTCGGGATTCGGTAGTCGTTGTCCTTGGCTCCCGCAATCGACAGATGCCAGTGGACCGTTCTGGGAAGCCCTCACCTATTCATACGAGTGGGTAATAATTTTGAAGAACTCATACGTCCCCGTCCCCATGTCCTATTACGAGTTTCGAAGGAGGTTTACGATCTCGTGAGTTTGAATGAATTTGACTGTACTAACACTTGCCTTTTACGGCCCCTTGTAATGATCTATAGAACAAGTTTTATGTTTGCGCTGCTTGGCGACAAAATTTACAGCCCTCAGTAAATCAAGGCTGTGCAGTGTGGCCAACATGTGCTCTGATTCAGAAGAAGAAGACGGTCCTTAGAATTTGGCACACAGTTTACTGCGATCATAAAATCCTGTCAGTAGCGTGGCACAGCCATTTCCTGGATTTGATACATGTTAAAGGCATAGTCATTGATTTTTGAACCTCGTTTATGGAACGCTAATTGAAGGCTTTGTTGACGAAATATTAACTGGAAAGTGTCCCAAAGAGTGTGAACTGAAGATTTAACACGTTTTGTTTTTCTAGCTTCTCGACTTGTTCCAGAATGACCAGTTTTATGAGTTCGTTATTAAAGAATTTCTGATGAATTATCTTTGATCCACTTCTATTCGTTCCCTTTTTGAGCTGTGAATGATTTGGGTGAATTCAATTTTAAATATTTTTGAAATTCGAGTTTGGGGAAGAAGAACTCAAACTAGAAATCAGGAAGCCAATACGCCAGGACCACATTTATAGGCGGCTTCCGTTTTACAGGGTCCTTAACAATTTCGTGGCCCTTGGCTCCTTATCAAAAGTTTTGAAGCGGTCCTTGCCACGCATGAGGAGCTCCGATAATTGAAAACTGTCAATACGCAAATTAGAAAATTTGTCATGTTTATCGTGACCAAGTGCTTGTGGTCTCGCTTTGAGCACGGAAATGGGCGGAGACGCAATCAATTAGTGCCTTGGCGGGAATGTCCTGTTTGGCTCATTTGCATTGCCAGTTCCATTTGCTGACGCAGATGAGGCACACCAGTGCATTCAAGTGCCTGGGAGTACGGGGTCCTTGCATAACGCTTCATTAGCATCGATTTTTATGCCGATTATCGGAGGGACCGCAGGTCGGCTTAGCAGTTCAATCCTACTTTAGAGTGCCCTGGCATATTTCATCAGCCTGCCAGCTCATTCCGCTCAATTCGGTTCTGGGCCGAAGGATGCTGTAATATTTTTATAGATCAGAGATTTGCATGCGGCCTGCTGCCACAAACATACTCTCATACACACTAGCACAATGGGCGAAGGGCAGCCATTTTTGGTTCGAGTCCATCCCCCGTCCCTTTCTCGCCCTGTGGAAGCCAGATGCAGGCGGCATGTGCGTATCCTTAATATGCGTAAACTTCACGCTTAATTCTTTATATTATGATGATGTCCTTTCGCTGTTTTCCCTTTTGTTCGTTGGTTTTTCAATTTTTCAAAACTGCAGACCGTCCCGACTGTACCAGGTGTGACTTCCTCGGCCGTTAATGGCTGTTGATAGATTTTTATGTTTGTATATCGGTAATTGACTTTCCCAGTTCGGGCTAGAAGACTCAGGATGGGATTACCGAGTAGCTTCAAGATCGACTCTTATGTTATTCTTCAATCACGGGTACGATTCAACCAGCTAATGAGCTTTAAGCTAATCCTGAAGGGGCATTATTACATTACATTCCATTAATCAAAAGCAGATACTCCTGCCCACTAAGGAGGAATAAGGACAACGCGCAAGCCTTGACACGATTTCATCGCCGTAAACAAGCATGAGCTAAACATTGTGTGTGTTGGCAGGAGGGGATAAGCCAAGAAGCTAAGGGAAGCCCGGTCGCCATAAACTTGGATGACAAAGAACTAGCCTAACTAGCCAGAAGCTGGCGAAGGGAGAAGAATGCAGCCGGGGAAGTGGCAGAATGGGATAAACATACATTGGGAACACACGACACGCCACTGTGGGTGCTAAAAATGCCAAAACCGGAACGATTGATAATGCGTCCTGGCCTGGGCAATAGTGCTGGGTCTGGGTTTGGGCTTGGTCTTGGTCCTGGGCCGCCGGCAGCCTTCACGGTTTAATTGGCTGCCGGCGACAAAATAAAAGTCATACAATTCATACAAAATGCTCGGGGACAGCTGCATTGTCGGAGTGATCAGGCGAGTACCGACGGGATGGGGGGTTGATATGCGGATGGATTATGGATGCGTTGCAATATCAAACGTCGGGCGAGCTAAGCCCCGAACCGCCCTGAACGAGCTCGGCCAATCAGAGTCTTCCGAGGCGTGGCATTAGCTCGATTAAAGCGCGGTCCGCTCGCCGGCGACTCGCTCTCTCCTTCTCTCTCTCTCTGGCTGTCTGGCTGTCTGGCAGCGAAGTTTTGATCGTTGCCATATTGTGGTTGCCTGCCTGGTTGTGGCGCCCGAGCAGGAATCAACCACCGAAGGGCGGGCGCGAAAGCTGCTCTCGCTCTCCTCCTGCCAGCATCTCCATCATCTCGGCTTGGTGGTTCGGTGGCTCGGTGGTGGCTCGGACGCGGAAACCAGTTTGTGGAGCGATCTCATTGTTCGTCCGTCTGCGGAGCAGTCGTAGTCATCGCCCGGCCCTCGTTAATTTATGCTCGCGCTTCTCTTTAGTTGCTTCGCAAGTCTCGTGCTGTTTGATCGCCGAAGCGCGCGTAATTCCAAGAAAAAATCCCGCTGCCTCACCACCGGGTCGAGAGTTGCAAAGTTCCGTCGGAATCGGAAGCTGGTTTGGCAGTGATGCAGTGCAGCCTTTGGGCCAACTCCCAAGTGATTAACCGCGAGTAACTACAGCCTCTGGGCCGTTGCAACCATAATTGTGCAATTGTATCGACTCTGATGCACTAATCTTAATCCAAAACCAAAGCGAGTGTGTTACAGGGTGCAGCGTTATTGTAGATTCTAAGTTATCAATAAGCACAGTGGGTTCGGACTATGGATATGTCCAGCGCCAACTCGCTGCGGCCCCTTTTCGCGGGGTATCCCTTTCAAGGTGAGCCAAAACAAGCAGTAATAAGGAACACCTTAGCTATACGCAAAAGTAAACTTGTTTGACCCTTTAAGGGAATCTTAAAAAATAGGTTTTCCTGATTATTTTAGTAACTGAGAAATATCTTACCCATATTGAGCCCACCACTATTCGTTTTCATTTGATCTTACTCGCCCGCAGGACAAGGTCGTGTGAACCAGCTCGGGGGCGTCTTTATCAATGGTCGCCCGCTGCCCAATCACATTCGCCTGAAGATCGTGGAAATGGCGGCCAGTGGAGTTCGGCCCTGTGTGATCTCGCGCCAGCTCCGCGTCTCCCACGGCTGCGTATCGAAGATTCTGAACCGATACCAGGAGACGGGCTCCATTCGACCCGGCGTGATAGGAGGATCCAAGCCCAAGGTGACCTCGCCGGAGATCGAAACGCGGATCGACGAGTTGCGCAAGGAGAACCCCGGAATATTCAGTTGGGAGATACGCGAGAAGCTGATCAAGGTGAGTGGCGATCTACACCTGCAGGTCTGCAGGAAGCAATAAACTGTGCAAAACAAGGGATGCAAGGATTTGACTAAGCCCACCGGTAGCCATAACCGCATGCCATTATGTGCAGACAAATAGGGCCCAAATACGGACCAAATGCGAATCAGTTTACTTCCGTTTTCCGAAAAGTCACGTGGCAGACTCGGGCCGCCCGCTGGTTTTGTTATGGCACGTTGCCGACGACACCTACCGGCAGACACCTTTGCATATGCCGGCTGGCCAGTTGCACAGATGGCCAAATGGCCCAAGGACCCAGTTTGAACTTGGCCGCTCATTGACAATTTTGTTGTACAACGGCGACGACAAATTTTCGCATGCCACCCAAACCGTTAAGAAATCGATTAAACCATAAAGAGTCGGCTGACACTGCCGATGTCGTTTTTGTTGTCGGCATCGATTGTGTTTTATCCTTGAGGCGACAAGGTGCAAAAAGAGAATATTTTTATCTGTCTTTTGCTTACGGGACATCGCTCCAAACTTCCTGTGTGATATGCCACATGGAGGGGCGGAAACAAGGCCCACACTAAAAGTAATCGGAAGTTTGTCTTGCAAGTCCCCACATAAATTCATTGGGTGTATCTCAACCCACCAGTTTAACTTAATGCATGTCACGTTTTAATGGACAATTTTTAAATCTAACAAAAACAAATTGTGCGACATCTTTCTCGCCATACATCCTCTTTAATATGTAACTTCACAAACCTTGTCACCTTTGCCCATACTAGCATATTATTTAGCCTCATATTAGAGTACAACTTGAAAGATGAGCACACATGCCCACACCTTGAGCTGGGAGGCAAAAGCAATGTCCAAAGGGGAAGTTATGTTTTAGCTTTTGACTGAACCTACGCCAATATGGCTCATTCACTGAGACCAGCTGTCTTGCTAAAAGTTCGATTTCGGCATACTGCCTACTGGCCGGGGCAGTCCTCCGATCCACGCCCGTATGGATGGATGGATGGATGGCCCTGTGACGGCTGTCTTGGCGTTGTTTTCGCCTCTTGGCGAGATTGCTCGAGAGTGCGGGGGGAGGGCGAAAGATCCATGCCAGCATTCGTGTTTTCATGCGCCAGCCTCTTTTGGCGGCTCTCGTCTCGCTCTTTATTTGAAGCCGCAATTAGCCACACTTTATGTGGCGATAGGACTTGGGCGACCATCGATACGATCGGACAATGGATCAGAGTTGGCATCACTTCATTCCATATCCGTGGGATGAGCACTTTGTATGTGCACAGAAAGAAATGCAGGTCAGGATTCATATTAATTTTCAAGAATAAAAGTAAAGAACACAAAAGTATCTTTGCTTCGCGCAGGCACAAATTTAAAATTTTTAGTTTCAAACTTAACCATCTTAAACATTTTTTGCCTGTGCAGTTTGTTTTGCTCTGTTTGCGCTGGCTTGGCGAGGCAGTAGGCGTAAAAACTGCCTCCAGGTGAGCTTCACGCTTAATTAGAATACGCTTTGGGCATCTCTCCTGCTTCGATTTCTTACCTGGTCGCGATTGCCCCTCCCTATCTTACAGATACGACTTGCTCAGTGGCTCAGTGGTTTATCCACCGACGATCGTGATTGATTTCAGCGGTTGCTATTGCACATTGGATTTGGTTCAGGAATGGCCGGTCTTTTGCATAAGCCCCAATCGTGTTTTCCTATTCATCCTTGAGGCTCAGTCTCCAAGTTTATTCATTTGACCCGATGACAAACTGTTTGTTTCCAAGAAATTTAATTATTTAAAAACACACAGCGCACCTGTCACTCAAACAAGAAGCTAGCAGGGACCAAAAATTTGTGGTAGATAATATTTAGGAAAAGAGCGCAGCACGGTTTGGTCAAGACTAAAGCGCAGTCAAGTGTCAATCCAACTGTCAACTAATTAATTAAATTTCAATTGAAATTGTTAAGCCAGAACCCAGTCGGAGGCAAAATTGTATCGCGCAGTCGGGGGCTCGACCGCGATCGAGATCGGGATTGGAATTGAAATT